CCAAGAGACGAGGATGTAAGCCGATGTTCACTTCCTTGGAGGGAAGCTACGTCACCGTTTAAAGAGGTGGATGTTACCACGAAGGCACACCAATGCCACGAAGGCTCACCCTATTCTCTCTTTGAGACAACACCACGGAGGCGTTTCTCAACCACTAGTGGTAGACCTTGGGGTGGTCTCCGAACCCTCACAAACTTTTCCGAGGGTAATCACAAAGGTCGATTCCTCTCCGGATGACTCCTACCGCCTAGGAGTCTCCAACCTCCAAGAGTAACAAGAACGATGGGGAAATGCTCAAAACTTGCTCAAGTCACGAATTCCTTTGGTGCAAAGAAAGGGAAGAAGTGGATCTATCACTTGATTGGAGAACTTCTCTCAAAAATCTCCTAGAACACTTGGAATCTAGGATTTAGTGTGGATGAATGAGAGAGAGAGTGAGGAGTGTTCTTGAGGGGCTCAAAAGTGGATGGTCAACCCTATCCCGTGGAAGGGAAGGGAGTATATATAGGTGGTGGGAAAAAGTGACCGTTTGGGGTACAGGATGGCCGGACGTCCGGAGAACGTCGGACGTCCGGAGGCCCAAATGGGTCCGGACGTCCGACAGTCATCGGACGACCGGCCGCTGTGAAAAGTGTGACCCACAATCCAGTGTACAGGATACGGACGTCCGAGCTGGGCCGGACATCCGTAAGAATGCTTCTGATGTGAAAGTGTCGGACGTCCGGAGGGTTCCGGACATCCGTAAAAATGTTTCTGTTGTGGAAGTGTCGGACGTCCGAAAGTGTTCGGACGTCCGGGCAATCAGGAAGGACCGGACGTCCGTAGAACACCGGACGTCCGAAGGTAAGGTAGCAACTTTGAGCAAGTTTTTCACAGATCCATCGACCCCCTCTTAATAGTGCGGGATCCCTATACTCAAGAACAAACCATAAATGAAGTCAACATCTTGTATCTCCATTCTTGAGTTATATGCTTCTGTCCCTAGTCATGATCCATGCACACGGTCTTTGGAACATAATCCTGAGATATACTTGATAAACATGATTAGTCCCGAGCATATGTGTTGTCATCAACATCAAAATATGATTAAGGGCATGATTGCACTTTCAATGTTGTTGTTGTTGATGAACTCCTTGCTCTTGTGCTTCAAAAGATAGTCTGCTCAACACTCAATCACTCTTTCACGGATTTGGCTTGGGTAGAGAAGGATTAGAGTGGAAAGCAACTTGGGGAGGCTAGAAATCAAGGTTCAAATGGTTGGATTGGAGTGCCTTGATCTCAACACAAGTCTAGGTGGTTCTCTCTCAAAAAATGAATGGTGGAAGTGTAGTTTTGTCCTGATGGCTCTCTCTGAGAGTAAGAGGTGGTGGCGGGGTATAACTAGCCATCACTAAAAATCCAATCGTTACAAACTTTATGCACAACTCGGTGACACCGAAAATAATTCTCGGTGAGACCGAACAGTGTAAAAGATTCGAACGTTAGGATTTTTAGTGAGACTGAATGAATCCACTCGGTGAGACCGATTAGCATTGACCTAAGCAGAACCTCGTCTTAGTAGTTCCGATCGTTTCACGTCGGTAATTCTGAAATGACTTCGACTGGTTACAGAAACTTTGTCACCGCAATTCGGTGGGACCGAATGCCATCTCGGTTGTACCGAATTTCTAGGTATTGGCTTGTGGCTCTGTTTTGAGTAACTCGATGGGTCCGGGTGTGAGTGTATCTGTGGTACCGAGTTTGATTTTTGGGTTTTGACAGATTGGAATGTGGGAAAGTGGTTGAGGGTTTTTGGAGCAATATCTTCAAGCACTTGAGCAATTGAGTCATGATGAAAACCTCATCCCCTTTTAATAGTATTTGCTTTCCTATGGACTCAATGTGATCTTGGATCACTTAACAAAAACTGTTTGTCCTTTGTAACTTTAGGGGTCCACAATCACACATCCTTGCTAGGTCAACATTGGACTTTTCCTGAAATATACTAGATGAAAATACTACTCCAACAACATGTATGTTGACATGAATTACCAAAACCACCAAGGGAGCAAATGTGCTTCCAACATTTTTTTAACATGCAAACATGTAATCTCAACATGCAATTATGCACGAGGAAAAATCCACATCAACTCGTGCAACCATGCATAGAAAAATACTCACCTCAAGATGCAACCGAGTACGCCGTTGAACATGCACTAATCATGCCATACCAAGTGCGCGATGATTGATGTCATCCTCTAAATCGTCGATGCCACTCCAATAAGGTACATAGACATGGGGAAAGTTGAAGAACCATTATTCCTATCACCGCCACTGCCCCAATTTCATCGTCAACCAAGAACTCGAAATCCCTACGAAACATGGACTGTGATACTCATATCTGGGGTTCCCCATCCTTCCACCATTGCAACGGCTGATGGAGGCCATGAGAACCTATGACGGTGCTTGTGTGTCGAGGGGATAAACTAGTCGCCTCATGGTGGCCTCCTCTGTAGCAAACCCTGGAAAAGTAGTCTCTTATATAGTTTATACATGGTGACTCTGCTAACATGGATGGTACCAATACACCGAGAAAGAAACCACAAAGGGTATCGATGGAGTAGTGGCAATTTCATGTAATTAACAAGCACGACATTCAGACATTCAATTCATACACTAGGAAGGATCGATTTGTATAACACACCAGAATTCAACTCGCGCTTACCACGTTTCACATGTTGGGGATCGTAGTAGAAGACCAAAAATAATCTTCTAACGAAACTAAACCAGGATCACTATGAAGATGTACATACAAGGTTAGATGTGAGCCATACCAACAACAAGTTGCAGCGAAATAAGAGTTGGTGAAGTTCGTTCATGAAGACCCTCGAGTCATCCCACGAACGGCTCCCTCGAACAAGAATCAAAGGCACGATCCCTCTGTGGATTCCATGCATATGACACCAATGATTCGACAAGCGCTTCGTCATCAAGAGCTCGATGATGCCGGAGTAGAATAGTAGGGATGAGCAGCCTTGTGACATTTCATAATTATTTGGAGAACTAGAGGGCGAGAGGGGCACCCAAGAATGCAACAGAATTGTGTCTCTAGGAGGCCCCCCTTGGGTATTTATAGGCAGAGAGGAGGGGGGGTCTGACTTGGAGGAGGGGCCTCCCCATTGTGGCAGTGCAAGGCTAAGGGGGCACCACCCCATTGAGCCTCTAGGCCCATGTGGTTTCCCCCTAATAGGCTTTAACCTATTTGGGCAACCCATGGTGTCTAGAATAATTCCAGGGGCTCTCGATAAATTCTAGAGCCCTCCTATATTATTATTTCATTCTCCGAAACTTTTCCACCAATCTGGCTTTATCTGGAGTTTTTTCAAAACCTTTCCGGTTCTCTCTTAATCGTGCGACCGTGCAGGTTCGGTGAAATATAGGCATGACCGAAAAACCTTTCGATCAATGATCAATAACGGAACCGTTGACATGCATATTGACCCCTGTACTCACACGAATGATTATCGAGTGAACTTGTAGCTACCATATGCCATTCCTTTTCCTTCACGATACTTTACATAACTCAAGGTGAGATATATCGACATCCCCGCGAGTCAAATACATTTGTCACTATGTCAATCTACTCGTTACCGGTTTTGTTATGTTTTCTCATTCTTGTGTTCAGGAATCCCCGACTCCCCGTGATCAATTCACGTTGTGTCTGGCCAGATGAGGATGGATGTCATCACACCGAGAGGGCCCTACGAATATCTCTACATCGCCGGAGGAGTAAATCTCAGTTCCGAACTATCTGGTCCCTCATCATACGTTTCTGATGAACCTGTAAGTTGTCGTATGATCGCCTTGTTACGGATGATGTTAGAACAACCCCAAAGTGCATCGTCCCGTATGGAGTGACTTGATACTCTCATGTTATAAGAAAGTGTGCATACATTAACTTTCCTACACGGACCCATGGACTTGTGACAAAATCATCTCTAAGTATAACATACAACTTGGGGCAATTCTAAGTATAACATACAACTTGGGGCAATTCAACACGAATGTTCTACTACTATCGTGCCCTCAATGTTGTCGGCATCATTGTTACACTTAACTATGCTCATAATCAAGAAAACAGAACCATCATTAAATACTTGACTAGTTCTAGAGGCAAGACTAGAAATCTTATTTTATCATTTACAACTTTACACATGCACATGAGCTTTCCTCTGAACCTCTTGTTTTCGCAGGCTCGAGAACCATAGCAGTTATAACATAGAATATAAATATCAATTATAAACTTGAAAATAAATAACAACACATTTATTATTACCTCTAGAACATATTTTCAACACCACAAAAACCATGCACGATGTTATTACTCGTCGTAAAGTTTCGCGAACTTTCACATTCAACATAAAAAGATCCATCATTACGGATGCAAGCGGGAGCCCGCGAAAAAAATGTATTTTAGAGACATTGTACCTATGTACTTTTTCTGACCTCTCATAACACCGGACATTGGAGCTGTCCGTTTTCGCGATCTGAATGTTTGTTGACTGTCTGATTATGTCGAAGTGCGACATGGGCCAACATTGTGGTGAGAATCCTACAAATCAAAGAAGCTTGTGGTGACTGTCTATCTTAAAATTTATGACTCAATCTCTTAAAGGCGTTTATAGGTACAGGAGTAGGATGTACATGCGTGCGATTACAATAGTGAATATAGGGGCGTGTATGCGAGAGTGTGTGTTTACTGTATTTTGTAAAAACCTCCCAAATATCCCGGTTCTATGTTTTCAGACTTCAAAAAGCAGCCGTACACAAATATACTAATTTCGCTGGAGCTATACGCAAAACCTACCGCCGCCCCCGGTTCCTCGCCTCCCACCGCAAGAAAAGCGACCGGAAGGGAAAAGACGAACCGGAGAGGAACATCAGGTTTTAGCATCGCGATTTTCCCAGAAGCGTTTCGCGGAGAAATTTCGTCAGATTGTTCCCCGGATTCCAGCGCAAAGATGCCGCGCATTCCCATGATCAGATTCCCCAAGAGGCATCTCAAAGTCCCATCCCCAGCAGGTGCCCTCTTTCCCCCCTTTGCCCCCCTTCGATTCGTGTAGGATTGGAGGGTTAAATTTTGCTAGTCTATGGTCTAGCATGTCGGAGATCTAATTCGTGTATCTCTTTGGGTTGATTTCCTCTACGCAGCGGCGCAGCCTGCAGATCAGCACGCGACCCTCATGTCCCGATTGGGTAAGCTCAATGATCTTGAATCTGCGAACGGAACTAGGTTTTTCTTCTTGGATTCGGGTGAATTATCAGTGGTAATTTGTGGTTGGGAAACGTCATTAATTACGCCTTTATGGAGCAGTTGATTGATCTATGCAACATGTTTGGCACTTGCTTGAGATGTGATTTTGCTGCACAAATTAGCAAAGTCTGAACGTGATTTGGTTTCAGGTAGCTTTTCAGAGTGTAAGCCAAATTGAAGCTATTCTTGTATTGATTCTTGTTCACATAAGATAGATGAAACTAGGATATTAGGGGGTGAGACGAGCTTGCAAGGAACTTGATGGGAAAGAGAAGGTTTTGTGTATTAGGATGAATTCAAGACGCTTTTCGTGATATTTCTCTGTTTTGTAGTTGTTCATTTCCAATAGTGTTATACCATTCAGATGTAGGGTTGATGCTAATAAATCTGTATGGATGCTTTCAACTTTTAAAGGTGATTTGACATTAGTCATTTTAGTCACCGACTGAAGATCCACACCTTCCTGGCCATGAATAAGCAGTAACATTCTATCTCACCTTGTTTTGGTGGTTTGGATTGGATGTGTGAATGTGTTGCACGATAACTGTTGTTGCCATGTCGTTCTATGGCCTTGTCATTGTCATCTTGTAGACTGTTATAACCAACCATGTGTTTGGGAGTAGAGAACATGATGTCTTCTCTGACTTTTATGGCCTTGTCGTTGCCATGTTGTAGACTGTTACCACCAGTTGATGGATAGTTTCTTACTCTACTGTACATTTTTCATTGAGATTGCAATCTCTCTCATTGAGATTGCAATTCAACCATCAGTTTTCTTAGTACTGATCTGTCCTTTTTGTCAGCTGTAATCAGCAGCTACCTGGTTACTGCTAGGATTTTTTTTGACAAAGCTTTGTGTGTCACTGCATTAATCGAAAGAAAATGTTTTATGTACAAGCCTTAGAGAACTGACACACAACACCAAAGCTAAGCCGGTAACACTGTAACAGGGACGACAAGCAAGCAGTGTCAGCCACAGATCAAGATTGGCCTTGGCCCCCAGCCTTGATCTTCTCTAGCAGACATGAATATCTGAGCGCTCCCTGTCGAAGACACACATATTGCATTACTTCCAAATCAGCCAGTCAGTCAGAAGGATTAATGACACCTTCCCTTTCCTCTGAGCCGTAGTGAACGAGCACATAGTTTGCTTCCACTAGTCGATGAAGTTCTCTCCTAGTCCATGTGGCTTCCTAGCGGACCTTGTCCAATGTAGGGTCTTCTGCCGAACTTGCTGGGAGAAGACATGATCCACAAGGAGATGGTACATCGTCTCTGGTGCGTAATCAGATAGCAAGCAGGTTAGGCAGCAGGCTTCGCTGTGCCAAGCGGTCGGCCACCCAGCAACAGAATAGACATGCCAACCCTAGAGTGCCAGTTTAGCTTCCATGAATTGGAGAGGACTGAGCCCTGGAACAATGACTCGTAAGAGGTGCAGAGTACTTGCCGTCCGTAGTTCAATGCCATTGAAGCTCATTTCCATCGATGATAAGTTCGACCGTGCTCGCCGTGCACCACAGTGGGACATACTCAACCCAGCCATGGATGCCCAAAGCTCCTAAGATATCCGCGACCCAGAACCACCCAGCAAGCCCTTGCGCAGCAGTGTGCACCGGCGTCTATGCTAAGCTGGCATCATTGAGCAGATCTGGGTGAAGGCTCGGTCACCTACATGGCCATCGGTCTATCTGCCTTCTCAAAATAGGTTGAGTTGCCATCATTCGTGATCAAAGATGTGGATGAGCCTGATCAACTGCTGGATTTTGACTCCCATTCCCGTCTTTAAGATATTGTAGGAAGAAGGAATGCTGCTTGCACTTGGAAGTTGGAATGCAAGTGCACACAGCTGGTTGACTACACCAAGTCCTAGCTTGATCACCTATTTTCTCATTATCCAAAAGACTTCGTAAGTAAGTAAGTAAGTAACCTGATTTCTGGTTCTTCTTCACGAGAATACGCGGTGCATATCATTTTATTGAAAAGAAGGAAAGATTTGATATAGTTGTCGCCTCTCTAATAGGGAAATAAATAGAGAAATACAATTTCCTAGATACATACTGCGTACAAACTAACATATCCTCTTGGAACAGAACACCCTACAGTTTCACACCTTCCATTTATGACAGTGTTGCAATGACTTGGTTTCCGCATTCTATTTATCTACTGATTGTTGCCTGGCCTAGTAATATTGTACCTCTGAAGTAGGTGTTGCAGTGAGTTGCTTTCACATGCTATCTTGGCTTTTTGCTGCAACCACTGAACTGGTCATGCAGTTGTGTTTTGTTTTGCCAAATAGAACAAACAAACCTGTGTATAAGAAGATATCACATCTGTCCAGAAAAGTTTTGATACTGGGGAGTAACATAAATTTGTTCCTCAGTTCGTCGGCCTTAGTCAATTTCCTCAGCTTGAGCAATCTCTCTTTAAGTTTGACCTGAAGTTCATTGTCCACTGTGGTCATGTAGTTTTGTTTTGCCAAATAGAACAAACAAACCTGCGTATAGTAAGGTAGCACATCTGTCGAGAAAAGGTCATAATGGGGAGGACTGTAAATTTGTTCCTCAGTTGGTTGACCTTTGTCAGTTTCCCTAACTTAAGCAGTCTCTTTAAGTTTGCCTTGAAGTTCATTGCTCACTGTGGTATGCAGTTTGTTTGGCGAGAAACAGAGAGACAGGCGCTTGAGTGAACCGAGGGAATGTGTTGGGTCAGGTTGTAATTATTGAGATTAAAAGTTTTCAGGGAAAAATAGGAGGTGAAGATAGCTGCTAGTTGTTTTCCAAAAAGCGCCTCATGGCAAAGTTAGAAGAGGCCGCTTAACTTGGAGAAATTGGCACAGGCTAATCAAGTTTGGGGAAAATTTACATTTCTCCCATTGTGTATAACTCCCTCCAGTGGCAAAAGAATGGCATTCTGGATATCGGTGCTGTCTTCTAGCACTAACTTCTATTGCTAATTTGTCTTATATTCATCCGTAATATTACGAAGTACTTTACTCATAATACATGGAAAGGGGTGTGACTAAATTTTTTACAATTTGATTTTCAGGAGCTAAAGTAGAGGCACCATCTTCTGGAGAGAAAAAGAATTACCGCTTTAGATCAGATGTGCCTTCCGCACCTTCTCATAATGCTGTTGGAGGGCCAGCTTCACAGCTTCCCAAGCGCAAACCACTATCTGAGGAAGAGATTGAAGCTATCATGGTAAGTTCTTTGTTTACAGATGCTGAAATACAAAGCAATATACATTGTATGGTTATGCTTAAGGTATTTGGCATGCTGTACCTAGAAACCAATTTTATCCAATGCTTATGTGTAGTGTGGACCCATGTTAAATTGTACATGAAATTTGCAGAATGACTGTAGTGTGGAGCCATGTTAAATTGTGCATGAGATTTGCAGAATGATTGTGTAGTGTTGTACTACAGTACTAGTGTGGACACATGTGTTTGTTGGTTCATCCTAAAGATAGTGGCAAATGCTTGTCAATTACCCATGCATAATCAATCTTCATCGTTGTTCCTAATCTGTTGTTGGTCTTTGTAGAGTAGTAATTTTTGTACCTTTTTAACTAGCTAATTAGTATCACCTCTGTTCCAAATTATAAGACGTTTTGGATTTCAGTATGGACTACATACGGACTGAAACGAGTGAACAAACACACTAAAGGGCGTCTATATACATCCGATTCAGAAAAAAGTTAGAACAGCTTATAATTCAGAACGGAGAGAGTAGACAATAGACATAAGTCACAGGTTGCACTTGCTACTTAGTAGACAGGACTCCAGGAGTAGATACTTACTCAGTTGTCTCTATACTGTATCTACCATGGTGACCCGCTCTATG